GGCAGAAGACCTAACCAGACATTTCTCCAAAGAAAACATACAGATGGCTAACAAACACATGAAAAGATGCTCAACATCATTTATTATCAGAGAAATGCAAATCAAAACCACAATGGAGTACCATCTCACGCCAGTCAGAATGGCTGCCGTCTAAAAGTCTACAAACAATAAATGCTGGAGAGCGTGTGTAGAAAAGGGAACCCTCTTACACTGTTGGTGGGAATGAACACTAGTACAGCCATTATGGAGAACAGTGTACAGATTTCTTAAAAAACTGGAAATAGAATTACCATATGACCCAGCAATCCCATTGCTGGGCATACACACTGAGGAAACCAGAACTGAAAGAGACACATGTACCCCAATGTTCATCGCAGCATTGTTTATAACAGCCAGGACATGGAAGCGACCTAGATGTCCATCAGCAAATGAATGGGTAAGGAAGCTGTGGTACATATGCACAATGGAATATTACTCAGCTATTAAAAAGAAAGCATTTGAACCAGTTCTAATGAGGTGGATGAAACTGGAGCCTATTATACAGAGTGAAGTAAGTCAGAAAGAAAAACACCAATACATTATATTAATGCATATATATGGAATTTAGAAAGATGGTAGTGATGACCCTATATGAGAGACAGCAAAAGAGACACAGATACCAAGAACAGGCTTTTGGACTCTGTGGGAGAAGGCGAGGGTAGGATGATTTGAGAGAATAGCATTGAAACATGTATATTATCATAAGTGAAATAGATCGCCAGTCCAGGTTCAATGCATGAGACAGGGTGCTAGGGTTGGTGCACTGGGATGACCCTCAGGGATGGGATGGGGAAGGAGGTGGGAGGGGGCTCAGGATCGGGGACACATGTACACCCGTGGCTGATTCATGTCAATATATGGCAAAAACCACTACAATATTGTAAAATAACTAGCTTCCAATTAAAATAAATAATTTTTTAAAAAATGGTCAGGGAGCAGTCAAAGATGCTCTCAAGGATGCACTCAGTTCTCAGGAGCCACAGCACAACTTCCCCAAGGCAAAACCCTGCCCACTGGAGTGGCCGCCCCTCCGCAGATGTGCCCTTGCGGGACCTGCTCAGGTCAGCGGCAGCCAGGAAGGCCCCTGGTTTCCTGCACGAGCCGGTGGCAGGCGGGGGTGGGGGCCCCGTAGGCGGCGAGAGCGCCCCCCTCATGGAGCTGGTCTGCAGAGGGCAGGGAGCCCTGGGGAGACCTGCACAGACCGTGTGCACAGACATGTCCCCAGCGGGGTGGACAGTGGTGGGCGTGTGCCCAGACCTCCCTCCGAACTGGCGCCTGGACCAGGTCTCACCGCCAGGCCCAGTTCTGTGGCAGTGCCGCCCTCCGGAGACACGGCTGTGTCAGGTCCTGGCTGACTGGTGTTTCCCGATCTGCACACAGGTTTCTCAGCAGGCAGGTCAGCTAGTCTGCTATTCCCATCTCTTGAAGAATTTTCCACAGTTTGTCATGATCCACACAGTCAAAGGCTTTGGCATAGTCAATAAAGCAGAAGTAGATGCTTTTCTGGAATTCTTTTGCTTTTTCTATGATCCAGTAGATGTTGTCAATTTGATCTCTGGCTCGTCTGCCTTTTCTAAATCCAGCTTGAACATCTGGAAGTTCACAGTTCACGTATTATTGAAGCCTGGCTTGGAGAATTTTGAACATTGCTTTCCTAGTGTGTAGGATGAGTTCAATTGGGCGGTGGTTTGAACATTCTTTGGCATTGCCTTTCTTTGGGATTGCAATGAAAACAGCTTTTCCAGTCCTGTGGCCACTGCTAAGTTTTCCAAATTTGCTGTTTATTGTTTACTTGTGATCAAAAGGAATTTGACTAAGATATCATCAGTCTCCTGCTCATAGTGCACTTTATTGTCAGATCCAGTACCCAGAAAGAGGTAAGATCTCCTAAATTGTGACTATATATTCCTAAACCATGTTTGCACCCTTGAGCTTCATAATCAGAGGGGGGGAAAAGGTATATGTCCCATTCATTTTCTATCTGAAGAGCTTAACGCAGCTCGTGGCACGCAGTAGGCCCTTAAGAACTTTTTTTTTTTTTTTTGAATGAATGGAATGGACTATATTCCCATTAAATTTACAGATACCTCCTAGGAAATAACTCTGTTTCAGATTTTGGAAGGTGAGATCTAAACATAGGCTAACCTCATAATTCAAGGAAAGACAAAGGAAGTCACTGGGCAAAAATCCTCTCCTGCTGCCACGAGCACTGGCTCTACAAACCAATCTGAATCTGCTCCTAACCTCCCTGACCTGCCTCCAGATTTGAAGGAAGATGAATCCTGGCTATTATAAAACTCAAGCATTCCATTTATCCTCTGGGTCCCTCTCTAGCCCTACCTTTTCTGTGACGTTTTCCACTCTTTAATGAATCTTTAACTTCACCCTCTTTGCATGACCATTCTCATCAGCATGGAAACACTCCCTTATGTCCTAACAAACACACACATGTATTCACACACACAGTAACTTGGCATCGTAGCCTTTCCAGTTATTGATCCACTGATCAATCCTCTTGATGGAAAATCAATATACAGCTTTCTATCCTCTCTCTCTACTTGCATAAACCATTGCTGGAGCGCTTCCATCACCACTGCTCTTTGAAACTGCTCATCAAACATATCAGCAACATACATTACCAAATTCAAAGAATGGCATTTTATCTTTTATACTTATTAACTCAGCTTCTTCTTAGTAGCAACTTACTTAGTTAACCAATCTCTTCTTCAGATTCTGTGACAAAATTTCACTGGTATTTTCCCACCATCTCTGGCAACCCTGAGAAATCTCCATTAGTGATTCATCTCATTTGACACCTAAATTTTGGACTGCATGAGAAGCAAGTCCAAGGACTCTTATCAGTCTATGAAGAAAAAGATCTAGTTTGTCTTGTTCAATCCCTACTTACAAAACTGGTCAAGAGGTGCTGGTAAAACGAATGTATTAGGGCCACCTCTGCAACACCTCCTCCTTTTATCTGTTGCCTTTGCCATTAGTTCCAGGTGAGTATAGATAGGTCTGTATGCACATGCTATATAAGAAAGCATTCGTAAGTGAACAGTGCAAAAAGCTAGAGAAAAACAATAGAATGGGAAAGCCTTGAGCTCTCTTCAAGAAAATTAGAGATACCAACAGAATATTTCAAGCAAAGATGGCCACAGTAGTACAGAAATGGAATGGACCTAACACAAGAAGATATTAAGAAAAGATGGCAAGAACACACAAAAGAAGTCTATTAAAAAGATCTTAATGACCCAGATAATCATTATGGTGTGATCACTCACTAGAGTCAGACATTCTGGAGTGCAAAATCAAGTGGGCCTTAGGAAATATCTCTACAAACAAAGCTAGTAGAGGTGATGAAATTCCAGCTGAGCTATCCTAAAAGATGATGCTGTAAAGTGCTGCACGCAATATGCTAGCAAATTTGGAAAACTCAGCAGTACCCACAAGACTGGAAAAGGTCAGTTTTCATTCCAATCCCAATGAAGGCCAATACCCAAGAATAGTCAAACTACCACATAATTGTACTCATTTCACATGCTAGCAAGGTCATGCTCAAAATTCTCCAAGCTAGGCTTCAACATGCTCAAAATTCTCCAAGGTAATTTCCTATAGAGGTACAAGTCGGCAGTGGACTCCTACAGGGACAGGGCCTCTGGGTGTAACAGACCTGGGTATGGCAGAAGCCCTCTTGGAGGAGCTCACCATTAACCCCACTATAAAGCTGCCAGAACTTACACAAGACTGGGAAATAGATCCTTGAGGGCATAAACAGAACCATGTGCACCAGGACCCAGGAGAAAAGAGCAAGGACCCCACAAGAGACTGACCCAGACTTGCCTGTGAGTGTCCAGGAGTCTCCAGCAGAGGTGTGGGTTGGTGATGGCCTGCTGCAGGGCTGGGGGCACTGAATGTATCAGTAAATGCATGGGATATTTCAAAAGAGGTCACCATTATCTTTATTATCTTCACAACAGTTTGGCCCAAGGTAAATAAAAGGGAGGGAACACAGCCCCACTCATCAACAGAAAATTGGATTAAAGATTTACTGAACATGGTCCATGCTCATCAGAACAAGACCCAGTTCCCCTGTCAGTCAGTCTCTCCCATCAGGAAGCTTCCATAAGCATCTTATCCTTCCACATCAGAGGGCAGACAGATTGAAAACCACAATCACAGAAAAACAACCAATCTAATCACATGGACCACAGCCTTGTCTAACT